AATCTCCCTAGTCAAAAATAAATTTTGTTTAGTTCAACTGATTTCGGTTAAGATTATAATGGAATAAGTAAGCCTTCATATGCTTTTAACAAGTAATGCGATGGCGTTCTGAATTTTTAACTGTTATATTTTCCATTTATGTGGTTATTTATGAAGTCATTCCTTTGTTAACTACAATTTGTCCATACAAAAAGTTTCGAAAATCTATTTCATGGTCCTAAATACTTCCATCAAGCAAATAATTGTATTTGACTCCTAAAACCTGCATAGTCAGAAATAGATTTTGTTTAGTTCAACTGATTTCGGTTAAGATTATAATGGAATAAGTAAGCCTTCATATGCTTTTAACAAGTAATGCGATGGCGTTCTGAATTTTTAACTGTTATATTTTCCATTTATGTGGTTATTTATGAAGTCATTCCTTTGTTAACTACAATTTGTCTATTCAAAGAGTTTCGAAAATCTATTTCATGGTCCTAAATACTTCCATCAAACAAATAATTATATTTGACTCCTAAAATCTCCCTAGTCAAAAATAAATTTTGTTTAGTTCAACTGATTTCGGTTAAGATTATAATGGAATAAGTAAGCCTTCATATGCTTTTAACAAGTAATGCGATGGCGTTCTGAATTTTTAACTGTTATATTTTCCATTTATGTTGTTATTTATGAAGTCATTCCTTTGTTAACTACAATTTGTCTATTCAAAGAGTTTCGAAAATCTATTTCATGGTCCTAAATACTTCCATCAAACAAATAATTATATTTGACTCCTAAAATCTCCCTAGTCAAAAATAAATTTTGTTTAGTTCAACTGATTTTGATTAAGACTACAATGGAATATAAGCCTTCATATGCTTTTAACAAGTAATGCGATGGCGTTCTGAATTTTTAACTGTTATATTTTCCATTTATGTTACATGTAATCAAAACTTCATATCAAATTTGAATATGATTAACGACAAAATAAAAATATCTAATAATAAAAGATGATCTTGAGAAACTGACTATAAAAAGTAGCAGTAGAAAAAGGAATTACATTATTAGATACTCAGTAGAAAAAGGCCTTTTTGGACTCGATAAATAATTATTTCATTTCAAATTTTCACCTTTTCATGGATAATCTGATTTTACATATAATTTAAATTGTATAAGTTTCTATATTTTGATATATATATATATATATATATATATATATATATATATATATATATATATATATATATATATATATATATATATATTATTAATGTTTTATAAATGGGTTAATATTTAATAGTAAATCCTCTGAAAGATTTTTGTATATGTTTTTTCAGATGAAAATTTAAATAACATGTAAAATCGGATTATCCCTGCAATAAAGTAATTATTTATCGAAACTGAAAATGCCTTTTTCTACTGAATATCTAATAATGTAATTTTTGATGGTTAATGACAAGTCATGTGATGAATAAATTTAAAAAACAAGTGTCGGATTTTCAGGTACCTGCAGTCTTATTCATCTTTTTTTTAGCTATCCGTTAAAACAAAAAGAGAATAACAGTAACAGAAAAAAATGTGTGTGTATATATATATATATATATATATATATATATATATATATATATATATATATATATATAAGCATTAGTTATATACTATCTTCCTATATTTTCTAAATTCATAATAAATTTTTCTACATTTTGGTCAAGTTCTTGAACCCCATAAAATTATTATAATATTTAACTTGATATAATTTTCATTATAATTAGTTTATCGTCTAAAAGTTCGGTTCATTATATTTTACGAGTGATTACGGTCGATTTATGGTGAAAATTGAATAACTGAACGCATAAAGTTTTTGTTTTTTATTTCAAAAGGTATTCAAGTTTAACAGATCATCTCCAAACCCTACATAGATTAATTATTAATTTTTTTTAAAATATATTCTTAAATCTAGCTGTTCCTTATAAAACAATGGCAGTCTTTGCTTCTAGAGGGATTTGGTAAACCTTTGCCAGCGAAGTCTAGATATGGGAGGAGGGGTTTATGTTTTATCTATGGGTTCTTGCACGGTTATGGATCCAAGTAATTTTTGTGGACGGGGTGGCCGAATGGGCTAAAGCGTGTGCACTGCACCGCCGTTGCCCGGCAACCTGACATATGAATCAAAGATATAAAAATAGTCACGAGTTCGCGTCCCGGTGCCGGGAGAGTCTTTTAAATCCCCGCCCACACTCCCTGGCCCGGGAAAATCCCGTATAGCCTTAACGGCGAGGAAGGGAAGGACCAAAAAAAAAAAAAAAAAAAAAAAGGATCCAAGTAATTTTACGCTATTTATCAATATCTTCTTCTCAAGCTATATAATGAACCGCTATCTGATTTCAGTAGCTTCAAATTGGCTTGGATGAAGGACACGGAGTATATAAGTTATACAGAAGGTCGTGTAACTAGTTCCACTGTAAATTGGATTGCATCCAAAAATTGGCAATCATTGGGATCTGGGTTGGCAGACTCACGTGGGACAACAGCTGATTGAAAGTTTTCTCTCAAGTCAACCGGGTTTGCGGTGATGATATGACGGTTGCTTTCACCCATCATTGCCAGTGATCTCAACCAAACAAGAGAAAGGACCTATGGTTGTTTTTACTATGCAATGCTCTCTCAAGTGAAAATGGATCTATTCCAATAATGTTGCTGATACACTGATTTTTTTCTCTGTCCTTCCCTACCTCGCTTTTAAGGCTGCCGTGCCATTGGGAGAGGGCGAGGGATTAATGCCCGATTTAAAAGCTCTCCCCTCCTTCCTCCCCTCTCTCCACCGGGACGCGAAATCATAATTCTTTGATTCACTGATATATTTCGGGACTAGACGAGGACCACACAAGGATGTAACGAGGCGATTGATTGGAGCAGAGAGCCCGGATGGTCATTGGCTCCTCCCCATTGGTGATTGGTCTCGCTTCGACAACAATCGCCATTCTCTCATTCTCCTCTTCTACTTCTATTCATTCACAGCTCGAGGCTCCGTCTTATCGCAACACAAGCTTTTCGTCACTTCTTCATTATCATTTCTTTCTTGTCGTAGGCTGGTAGGGAGAAATATGTTCGTATGTCTCACGGAGGTGTGATATAACATTTAATAATAAAAGTTCTATTCAAATAAATGTTTTTTTTTTTTTCAAACTTTAGGAGTAGGGGATTGATTTGGAGAGAAAAAACTGTATATATTCCGGAAGGATGGGAGTTATCAAAATTGTACTAAAAAAATTAATGTTTCCTTAACAATAATGCTACTATACAATAAATTTATTTTTAAATTTCATTAATATAAAAATATTAGGGGTGGTATTGATGTTTTTTTGAGTCCATTCATACACCATGCAAGAAACATTGCATTTCTCGAAAACTATATAAAAAGCCTGTTTTGGAAATTTATTTTAATTAAATTTATCTTCACACAATTTTTAAAATATTTTGGTTCGTTTTTAAAATAAGATAACTGCATTATTGGATTTATTATGCGTTCTTAGATAAGAATCAATGTTCATTTCGAGTTTCAAAAAAAATCGATCAGGGTTCACCACTTTGGTATCTATCTAAAAAGCGAGTCGCATCGAAACTCACTTATTATGAGAGTAAAAACAGAGATTTTTCCCCCTTACGATTTGATTCTGTAATTATATACTTTCAGTTTAATCCATAAATATCATAGTACGATAAACAACTTAAAATTCTGAAGATTAAATAAACAACTTACATGTTTTGTTTTTTTGCGAACATATATTAGCGATTTAAATAGCAAGTGTTAAATTAGATGATAAAATTCTTCGTGTTTAATATATTCAGCGAAATGAACATTTATTCAGAAACATTTAAAAACATAAATGTTATCATTAAACCACATAATGCAACAACTTGAAAAGCAACCACTTTTCAATGTGCTAATTTATTTCTGCTTCAACTACGAAACGTTAAGATCAATAAACCAAAATTTTTATTTAACATAAAGCTGCCTATTCATGTCTTGTGATATCCTTCTCTTAAGTACCTACCCTTTATCAAACTATTTATTCAACAACCGGACATTAACTGCCAAGTGAAAAAATAACAACATATGATAACCTTTGTAATCGGTTATAAGAACCGTTATAAATCCAACAGGTTCACTTTTAAATGCCGTCTAATTAATATTTCAGAATTTTGAAAAATCTCTATTTATTGCTAGTCAGGCTTATTCAGACTAATTACATCTCTTATAGCCAGTTAAATCAAAATGGATACAAAAGCCATTTTCTAGAAAATTGTAAATTATTGAAGGAAGCTAGTAGACTGTTCTACATACCATGGGTGATAAATATCCAGGGCGCAGTCTTTTAAAAAATAAATTATAATTGTTTTATTTGTGACAACGTCAAACTACTCAACAGTACTTGAAAGCATTCAGTGCTCGAACCGCTCCTTGAGTATGACCCACATGTTTGGGTTGAAACGTTCAGAAACTTCAAACGACCGCAATTACTTTTTCTTACTAAATATTAAATAATTAATAGTTAGTAAAAAAGGTACTCGTGAGCGACGTGGGCTCTATGGACTATTATCTGCAGTCATCTTGTTATTTTAAGTGTTGTCGTTGTTATTTATATTTCTTATCATTATATTTATATTTCTTATTAATATATATATATATATATATGCATGTAGATATATATATACATTAATAAGAAACAGGCAAAAAAGAGGCAATACCAAATATATTTATATTTCTTATTATATGAGAGCCTAATTTTATATGAAGATTGGAATTATCACTGCTTTATCACAATTATCAGTGTTCAGGTTATAAACATTGGTAGGTAGCAATCCATAGCATAGAGCCAGCGTCGCTCACAAGTAACGTAAAAAAAAAAAAAGTATTATGTTGATACAATAATGATTAGAATTTTACATGTTTTCTTTTATACTATACGAGTATGTATGTATTTTATTTCTTATTATTTATTTATTTATTATTGTTGCAGTATGTTGCTGGGAGCAGTTCTGGCGGGGTTTGCCCTCGCCCTGGCTGCTGAGAGCGCAGGCGCGAAGCCCTCGGGATCCGAGCACTCCGCTTTGCCGACAGGTAATTTTGCCTTCTTCAAACAATAAATTTTAATTGATAACAGAATTTTGATGACCTAATTTTTACTTTTCAATGACAAAGCATTAATCTTCAATTATTTTAACCTTGGTAGTCATTCTTGCCTCATCGATATACCTAACTAATTTTTAAACATCTGCTTTGTTGGAAAATATCGTTTACAGTTCGCAGCATCGGCTAATAGGACCTAGTCCATCTTAAATAATTTGAAAAAAAATTAAAGGAATTATTTGTAATATTCTTTAGATATTCTTAAAATTTTTGCAAAACCTGTAGGATTGGCTCCTAGTCGGTACGAATCTTCGTTCTTCTTCTCTTTAATAAAGCTGTAAAATAGAACCACATACATATGTACATACAACATTTTAAAATTCCATTTATATTTATGTCACTATGCAATAATAGCGTCATGTCCAAACTGAAAATAGTTAACTAATCTTTTTCTCATAATCTAATTTTTATCAGCATACTTTCCATTTATAGTTAAGTAAAATTTGTAATTAAATTAACCTTTAAAAAATGTGAAATGTTAATCGCTCAGTCCCTAGTGCTGTAACAACCAGGGTTTCCATTTCAGTGAAAAAGGTCCCTCTTTAAGGAAATTTCATGATTGGAAGTGAAAAAAATGGAAACAATTTTTATTAATCAAAACACAATCTTCTGTTAAATAAAACTGCATTATCTATTTCTTTGAGAATATAAATAGAATTAATGAATATGTAAACCTAATCAAATAGCTAACAATTAGAATAAAAATTAAAAAAAAAATTACTAAACATAAAACATACCACAGCTCCACAGTTTCCTTAATTTTCCAAATAGCTATTTTAAAAATAAAACCAGATCAAATTGATAGAACGCTGTATTCTAATTTTCTATTGGCAGATAGTTGTCATTATCATCATTGAGATCATATTTTAATTCGAGCCTAGTCCTAAAATTATTCTGATTTGTAAAATATGAATTTAATTTGGAGAACCAGGATTTTAACTTAAAACAATGTAAGGAAGGATAGCAAGAGAGAAACCTTCCGTTTTCCTATTCATTTATAATTATTTTATTTATTTTAAACTGATTTTCTAAATGGTTTCATAGTTGATTTCTTTTATGTAAATGTAAATATTAATTTTTATTTCAACGACCTAACTGACCTGAAATACCCCGAGGACAAAACTGTCTACCTATCTCTTTTTATAGCGCTTCTAATTCTCTTTTCTATTATTTTTTTTTTCTCCCTCCATCCACGGAAGTAATCCGCAAATTATTTCATCATTCCCTTTTTCTTCCATTTACGTGCGATTTCTCCAGGAAACATGTACATATGCCCGCTTGGCCAACAAAACGTTCGTTGATAATCAATTACTGTCATCTGGAATAATCTAATAATAATAGACTTTTTTTATCGAATCGATTAATTTTGACAAAGTTATGTAAAGTTCTATCTACCCTAAAGTTAAGTTTAAAATAAATTTTTCCCGTTTTTGATCAACTGAATTTTTATAATAACCGAAAACCTTCATGATCTCTTCTTATTTTCTTCTCCCAAATTAATTATCACACTTAACATACAGACGAAGGTTGTATATTCAAATTGTTATTAAAATATAAATTTAATGACCACCCTTTATAAAAGTTCTAAGATGATGTTGGGAACCGAAATGTATGTTGTCCTTTCATTTTAAATTTGTTTTTCTCGAAGGAAACCAATTATAGACGTTTCTTCATTAAAGGAATACACACATTATTATAAAATGTAAATGTGATAACAATAAATTCAAATATTTAGTACAAATTATTTTACTCAAATACTGACCTTTTTTGATCACCAAACAATTTAATTACTACTTCAGTTGATGCCAAACGATGAAGTAGTGATTGAATTCCCAATAGTGAATCAATTTGAGTAAAATACTTAATACTCGTTACTCAGAGTAGCATTTGCCCATCTCTGCTGTTTAGCCAAAAGTCAACAATATAGATATTATAATATAATTTATTGTGAAAATAAATGCAATAAAACGTTCTTTATAATAGAGCTCTTATCGCCTTTATTTTATATAAACATGGAATAACTACATTTAAAAAAAAAAAAGCCCAGTATTTTATTATTTTATTAAAATTTTATTATTTTCCTCGAGATTACCAGTAGTCAAATTTTCCCTTACATGATAAATTGAGCCTTTGAGTTTACAGAATGATGAAATCCAATTTCAACATTTTTGAATGAAGCCATTTTAGTGATATTTCTAGTTGAAAAATTTATAATATCTTTACAGGCAGTGAGCAAGTTTATCCCAGAGTAGATTATTGCAGTGTTGAAATATTGAATTGTAAATAAAGGTATAAATTTTTTCCATTAGAAATGTCAACTGAAAGGTCAATTAATCCTTAAATATAGTGTATTTACTCATTACTTTCTTGTGTAATCATTTATTTAGGCTGGTCCTCATCGGATGTTTAAGAATGTTTGTTTGATCGGGACATAAGTTGAAGAATTTATTTTTTTTTTTGTGGAGGGGGAGGAACACATTTTGACGGTGATGTCAATTATTCGAGCGAACTATAGGGTAATTATTTACATGAGGGCCACACGGGTTACGTGTGGTTCACAATCTCTTACACAGTTGTTCATGGAGTGCTGAATGAGTCGGGGTTTATACGCAAGCCTGTTTTCGGCGATTCGTGAAAAAGTGTAACTGAAGTGATTGTGAACCACACCAAACCCGTGCAGTCCCCATCTAAATAATTATCAACCATAGATTTCTAGGGTTACAATTTGGATAAAGTCGCAAACTCGAGAATCAGGGACCACAGCAGGAATAATTAAATATGAACTATTTGTAATTATACTTTCTCTTGCATTGCTTAAGAAGAAGAGAGCAATAACAGTTTTTGGAAGGTGACCGTATCAGATCGACCTTGGAGAAATGAACCCTCCTAAGTTTGACCATTTCTAATAGTATTTTTTTCTATTAGTTTTGGACGCTATTGGTTTTTCGTTCATTAGTTCTGTACCCTAAATCGGAGACTTCAACTTCGAATGTGTCGAACCAACAATATACAACAAGAGGTTCAGCGGTGGATTATGGCAATCTAAACATGCTATTATGGGCTCCACAGACATCAAATGCGCAAATCTCTCTTCAGGATCACCAAGATACATATCTATAATACCCTGATACATTCAGGGTCTTCACCTATTCGTCTGAGTGCTGGACGATGACGAAATCACTAGCATCATCTCCATTGAGATTCAAAAGAAAGATTTTGAAAAGGGTTATAGGAGTTGTATGAAGATTGAGGGAAATAGTCCAGTAAAATTAGGGATTGGCCCCACCATTCAAAAAAAAAAAAGATGGAAAATGTCAGAAATTGTTTATTATCTTCCCCATAATAAATGGTAAAAAGTCTCAAAGAATCCGGCGTCGGTTGTTAAAAGGGGAGGGCAAGAACAGAAAATATATATTTTTTTAGTTTTTTTAAGAATATCTCAAAAACTACGAGTTTTTCGCAAAGATGGTTCAGTATAATATTAAAGTACTTTAAAATCCCTATAAAAATTATTCAGAGATATAAATGAGATTATATTTATTGTATTTCCACTTTAAGCCAAAATTGCTTCGAACCGCATAATTGGTGTTATTTAAGTTTAGATTGATATTAATTTCATGTAATTGATAATATGTGATAGAGGACATTAAAATATACGATAAACCATGGTCTGATTACAGACAGACCATAAAACTTAAAATTTGTAATTGTTAAGTCAATCACGTTTTATATTGAATAAAATGCAATAACCAAAATAATGTTTAATTCAGACTACAGCCAATTACTTCATAGTATACTAGATTAAATTTAAAATAAATCATATCTATTTTAAAACCCAAAAAAGCATTAATCTTCCTGACAGCTATTTACAATTCTATCCTTCGACTTACTTACTTTCCTCTAGTATGGAAATTTTCAATCATAAAAATGCTACCGAAACCAAGCAAACCTTTAGACCAAGTCACGTCACATAGGCCTATCAGTATTTTACCCTTATTTTCCAAAATATTTGAAAAATTATTATTAAAACGGCTCTATCCATTTTTAGAAGCAAACAATGTTATTCCCAATCACCAATTTGGATTTAGACCTGCACACTCTACCATACAACAATGTCATAAAGTGATTGATACAATTGCTGTGGCATTGGAATTTTGCACAACAGCATTCTTAGACGTCTAACAGGCCTTTGATAAAGTGTGGTATGTCTACTTTGTAAAATTAAACCGATCTTTCCGCATACATACTATTTAATCATCAGATCGTATCTTGAGGATAGATTGTTTATTGTTAACCAGGATAGTAAATACTCCGACTATTGCCGAATCGGCGCGGGAGTACCGCAGGGCAGTATTTTACGTCCGGTTCTGTACTCAATTTACTCTTCTGATATTTCACAGACATCAGACACATTACTCTCAACTTACGCAGACGACACTGTCATACTCTCGACTGACTCTAATCCGATCACAGCATCTCAGAAAGCACAGATTCATTTAAATCTTCTATAAGACTGGCTTGATAAATGGCGCATAAAAATTAACATTCAAAAATCAAATCAGGTTACATTTACACTTAAACGTTTGGATCGCCCTCCACTGACACTTTACAACACCCTTTTGCCAAATCATACAGAGACAAAATATCTAGGACTCACAATGGACAGATGACTGACCTGGAAATCACACGTGTCTACATTAAAAAAGAGTTTGAACCATCGATTATCACTACTAAGACGAATGCTACACCATAAAAACAAACTATCACTTTCTAACAAAATTACTATATACAACATGCTACTCAGATCAATATGCCATCATATCAGTATGCCTCTCAAGTGTGGGGTTCATGCAAAAAAACACACTTACAGACTATTCAAATTTTCCAATCAAAATTTCTCCGGTACATCACTCATTGTCCCTTCTACATAACCAATAAATCACTTCATAAAGACCTACAAATACCACAAGTGACTGATATAATTAAAAAATATTACAAAAATTTCCATGACTCCTTAGCTGGACATCCTAATCCACTTGTACAAACATTACTAACAGACACACTACCACAGAATCCACCAAGGAGACTCAAGCGCCTCTGGAGCAGAGATCTGCTGCGTTAAGAGTCATGTTAGGTGTGCCTTCACTGGGAGGTTTCTCCAATCACGCCTTCACGCTAATCCCGGAGAGGAGGTTCGCTAACGAACATCACATTTACAAAATATGCCAAATGGCATTTGTGAAATTGCTCAATAAATAAATTTATTATTTTAAAACCATTTAAAGGGAACTTTTAAGCAGTTAAAATGATGTCAAGTCCGAATTTTGATAAAAAAAAATTTTATAAACTCTCAACTGAACTGAAGATACCAAACTTTCAGAAAAACTTGCTTGTTTGATGATCTTTATTTCTATATTAATTAATTTGAGTTTGCATTTTCTGTAATTGAGTAAAAATACTATGAGTACGTTAAAATTAGGAGTCGACCCCAATATTTTTACATCTTTAAACACAATTAGGAATGATTCTCAATTTGCTGTATAACCAACCACAAGTTAATTAATATAAATTTAAAGCTCATCAACCTATGAAGTTTTTCTAAAATTATATCTTCAGCCCGGTTGTTGTGAGGTTATAAAAAAATTGCGAAGTATCCTTGATTTTATGAAAAACTGAACTTACCGTAGTTGAACTGCTTAAAAGTGTTCTTTAAATGGTTTTAAAACTAGATTTTCTTTTATTTAATGTATATTTAGTCTAGTTCACTATGAGGTAATTGATTGTAACCTAAATTAAACATTTTGTTAGTAATTACTTTTTATTTTTCCTCTCCCCCTCCCCCATCCAAACCCGACGCGGGATTCATTGGGACTTTTTACCAGTTATTATGAGGAGGATAAGAAACAATTTCTGACAAGTTTCATTTTTATTTTCGAATGTTAGGGTAAGGCTGTTTTTTCCCTAATTTTACTGGATTTAAAACGCTGAGCTTATGAATCTCTACAATGACTTTGATATCGTCCATTTAATAAAGACTGGTATATCAATAGGGGTAGGGTATGCTGCACACATGAATAATAATGAAGTCCCTGAATTGCTTCTTGGAGAAAAAATATTCGAACATAGACATCGCCAGCGTTGGATGGATTGGGTAGCAGTAGATCCTCAGAAGCTGTTGGGAAGAAGAAATTGGAAAGCAGTTGGCACAAAACAGAGAAGACTCTGAGGTAAACCTCGACTCTTGAAAGAATTGTAGAGCTGTCGAAGTTCTGCATCCTCAGCATTAACCTTTCCGAAGAAGCTGAACTCAATATTTATTGTAACATATCTTTCTTTGATTAGTTAGTCCAATATTACCGATTTATGGTTTGTGTAATAAGAGCAATTTGTTTGTTCTTCTGCAGAAACGTTTTCATTAATTTTATAATCTCAGTGTATTCCAGAAGGGTGTTTCATAACTCAAATTGTGTCATCAAATTTTTGATGTGGGTAAAATTTGGCGGAGTTTTTAATTTTTTAGGGAGACCTATTTCGATTGGGTATGAATTTTCGAAATGAAAAGATGGTAGATGAGCACTCGACGTTGCGGGCACTCCTGCACTCCTGCATGGTTTCTGCTGATATCAGACCTACCTTTACCTAGTTTGTGTAATGTTAGTTCAGAAGGCTGAGAGGACTGAAGTACGTCGTTACGTCATTAGAATGCTGCGTGGAGTTGACCCATATTACCGTTATCAGTCACGTTCACTCGCATGGTAGTAGGCGACCAGTCTTGCGAATGGTTCAAATATTAATCCTTGACATTTCAAGGTTTGTTTCGACTTAATTAATTGAGAATAGCATAGCCACTTGGTACGTTTTAATGGAAATATCAAACATAATAATTAATATTATTTAGAAGCTTGGATACCTAGAATTCTCGTTAGTCTAGAGATCATTGGAGTGTATCAATCTTATATATCTTATAATTCATTAGCAAGCAAAGTAAATTTTGTTAGGTATACTGAGTTTCAGTCATAGCTTGTAACCTATGCCTCCTCAATTACTGATCTTGGCATCAGTCACATTTTTATATCTCTGTCACCAAAACCGTTTCATATCCTTCCTTAAACTTTTATCCTTTTCCGGCTTCAGTTTCTAGCCTATCCGATTACATTAGTTATTTTTACTATTCAATAAGTAAATTTTTATCTGTTTTGCAAACCTGCAGAAATTTTTAAAAAATCTTGATTTATTTCTTTGATCTTTCACTCTTGCATACATTAAGTTTTGTAGAAATTTAATTCACATATTTCATTAAAATGGTCTGTAATTATACAGAAATATCTATCAATTTCTTTATTACCACTGAACTCAGTAGAATTTATTTTAATTAAAATGTGACGAAATTTGTTTACAAATGAATATACATAAATCATAACTGAAAAAAAAAAATTTATTTGTTTTATCACAGATTCAGACCTTTTTTTTTTCAGTTTATCGTTTTTAGTATTCTACAATAAATAAATTTATGAATTTATATATATTAACACCTAATTGTTAATCTTTTCTTAACGATATTACATCAATTGAATATGATAAAAATGGCTGTCAATTTTTAAGTAAATTGAGCCCTACTCTTCATTGAGCCAAAGAACCAACATAGGCAATTTAAGGAAGTTGATCATATATGACTTTCTTTTTTTCACTATTCCAATTTGGCAATTCCTAAAACTTCATTATTCTATTTTAGCATTTAATAATGATTGTATCATTATTTCTGGAATAGCTTATGACCCATTTTTGCTTCCAGGTGACATGAAGGTGTTTGTCAAGGATGAAGGAACAACGGGTGTTTTCCATATCAAACCTTTCTCGGTGAGTACTCGATAGTAAAGTAAAAATTACACACACATATATATATATATATATATATATATATATATATATATATATATATATATACACACATTACAAACTTATAATCGAAGTTAAATATGCATGGACCTAACACTCGATGAATATAATAAATATACCCTTATAATATCTTAATATAAAAGTCTATTGTAAATATGAAGAGTATATTATTTTTCATTGGCAATATAAGAATACACAAGATTTCACGTTAACAAAATAACGATAAAAAAAAAAGTCTATTTAATAAGATCAGTTATCTCTACAGGTACATAATCTATAACCACTACTATATACCGCATTCAAGTAAACGGAAATATTTATTGGAGAGATAGTGGAACTCAAGAACATTATATAAACAGTGTTCCGATTTTCGACAGAATATTAGGAAAATACGAAATTTAGGTTTCCTATTATTTTTTTTAGCAAGTCAATTTATATTTAATTTAAGTAATTAAAAATTTGCTTCATTATAAACTTGACAAAATTTACTTCAAATAAAAGTAGAGTTTATCATGATTAAAATCATTTAAAGAGGACATTGTTCTGTTTTTTAAAAAATAAAATAAATTATTTGCTTTTTTTTTTTTTACCAATCTCCGATTATACTACAGATACCCTACCTTTCAGAAAAACTTTCATGTTTAATAAGCTTTGAGTCCATCTTAATTAAGTTGAGATTCACCTCAAGCTGTGTATAAATACCGTCATTTTATATCCTGTCATCTAAAAAAATTCGTGATTTCACCAAAAATGAGTACAATAATTTATCGCAATGTTTTTATATTTTATTTTTCCATGATCTGGGATATGAAACTGCTATGCGACGGCTTCCCAAATCGTTCGCTCGTATTCGTCTAAGATTTTCACCATGACGAGCGTATAACGAATTCTCGCCTGTTAGGCAAATGATGCCTTCGAGTCTTTCAACTAACTCGATATCAAATGGACTCCAAAACAAGTCCACGTCACCCTCAGGCAACTTATCATATAACTTCTTTAAGTTATCAGGCGTTCTCTCCCCACTGAGCTCAGGCTGACGGAGTGCAGCAACATTTGTGCTAATGAATATGGCCTTCTTGCCATTATTCTTATAGGGCAGTTGGTCCACCTTTGATTTTAGGGACGTATGTCTCCAACTGGTTTACGAAGGGAGCGATCTTTCGTATATCTGCTTTAAAATCCGATATATTATAATTCGGTGGAATCACATCATCTGGATTCAATAAAACGTCATTTGCATCCCACTTTGTTGCGGGGATTGGATTTCTCATCCTAAACGCTGATCTATAAGCGTGTGACGTTAATGGATTCGACAATGATTCGACTGTTTTCCGTAAATTAGTCAATACTACGGAGGTTGGCTCAGGAACGAAGCTACCATTAGAGTCTTTCAGATCATTTAATAAATATGGAAGGTATCGCGTTTCGAACTGTGACACCGGTCCGACAATTTCAGTGATTCGCTGGATCGGTTCTGGCACTCTAACAACAGTGCGAGCGGCTGACAGAAATTCACAATCTAGCTTTGCGGGTCGTACCGCTGATGGATCTAATATGTTGTCACCATACGCTTCGGGCATTTCTTGCATTTTACCCTCTACCACTCCAAGAAAAC